ATCTTTATCTCATTTTTTGTGCATCTTTATATCTATCCTGTCCTGATTATTCAGATTCTTGGCATCAACAAATGTTGTTGCTAAGACCTTTAATCATTGCTTAGATGCCTTGACCACAGCTACCTTGCTATGAACATTGCAAAAGTCACGTACTTAAACACACACATGAGCACACAAATTCTTTAAGTCTGTTCAGAGATACCACAGTTCCTTTGGCCTCTCCTAGACCTCCTCATTTCTAGAGCCCTTCACCTAAGCTCCGTTCTTACCTCCCACACTCATAATCTGAATGACTAAACACAAGTGTCCCACTGACCACAATTTCCTGTCCTTCTGCCTTTTTCACTCCTTATTTCCTCTAGATCTGTTCCTTCACCTTCCCTTCCCTTTCTTCCTTTCCTCCTCCAGACTGAAATATATATTGGTCCTAGCACGTCAGTAATTCTCATCAAATATTTAAATCTCATTCTCCTTTTCTGTTTTTATCATATACTCCAATAGCACATCCAACATTCTGGATTTTAGATTTCTAGATTCAATGCTGGAGAAAACTCATATGGTCCAGTGCAGTGCCACTACAAGTTCAGAGAGCCACCCTCACCAAAGCTCTCACATACTACTTGGCAATGCCCATATGGGTCCAACCCCAGGCTGTCTCTCATTCCTTACAGGTGCTATTTCAAACTTTTATTATTCCTCCAGTATACTGTGTACCACCTCTTCTCTCAGGAAGGAAATTCCTAGCTAACTTTTCTCACCACCAGCAAGGCTTATCTGTAAGACTTTTTATCATCATACTCAGAGCAAGTCACATTCTTATTTATGCTTGAAGCTAATGATTCCACATAGACTCTGGATCCCATTCTCTTCCATTTCAGCAGGAGCCTCTCTCCTTTACCTATGTCTCTTATAAAATTTTATTTGTATTCTTTTTTAGACATTTTCCCTAAGGTTTTGTCTGTGGTCACATATGTTTTCCTCTTTCTTTGAGTAATCTCATTTACTCCATAATTTCAGCTGCCGCATATATACTGGAATTCTTTAATCTATGTCAACAGGTTCAGAATCCTTGTGAAGCTTCAGACAGGTCTACCTAATTACCTGATGGACTCCTCCTTTTCTCTTTTTTTTTTCACACCAATTAGTCAATAAGTTCCAACAATTTTACTTTTTAACTCTTGACGTTAATAAGTGAACTGCCAAGTCGTTTAGAACACAAATGTAACCAAGTATTCCCATGGTTAAAATCTTTTAATGGGTCTCATCGTGTTTGGTTTAAATGCCAACTCCTTGATGTGACACACAAAACTTTTCATGATTTGAACCCTGCATTTTTCTTTCTAGTCTTCTGTTTCCCTGCATGTTCAGAAGAACACTTATACCCTGTGAAAGATTTTGCATGATGAGGTGGGAGAACAGGAAGGGAATGAAGGGCTTTACCAGATTCAAATCCATTTGAAAGATTAATGCTCTAGTATTACCTCTTAGAGAAGTGGTTCTCAAATTGGTTCCTGGAACATAAACACCAGCATTACATGAAAGGTCATTTCAACACACATTTTCAGACTTTCCCCTAGACCTACTGAATCAGGAACCATGGGGCTGGGACCTAGCAACCTGTGTTTGCGAGCTGTCCCAGCAAGGTTGATATACACTAAAGTTGGAGAATCACAGTCTTAGAGAACTACCATGCATTTTAGCATATTAAAAGCTTTAGGAAATCTGAAAGTAACTTGTTTAGCTTTGTTTAAGCAGAACTTTTTAGGTTATTTGAGCATTGGCCCTTGTTTGTATAAGTACATGGTACTAACATACAATAGTAGAACACACGTTAGAGAAGCACACTTCATCAAATGCTGTTATACCCATTTTACTACTAATTATTTAAATATTGTATGCATCTGTCATGTATTTTTGCATTTACATAGCGTGTCTTTGCATTTTTCTTTGTTTTCTTTTCTGAGACTGAGTCTCGCTCTGTCACCCAGGCTGGAGGGCAGTGGCATGATCTTGGCTCACTGCAACCACAACTCTCAGATTCAAGAGATTCTCCTGCCTCAGCCTCCTGAGTAGCTGGGACTACAGGTGCGTGCCACCACGCCCAGCTAGTTTTTGAATTTTTAGTAGGGATGGGGTTTCACCATGTTGGCTAGCCTGGTCTCGAATTCCTGACTTCAGGTGATCCACTCACTTGAACCCCACAAAGTGATGGGATTACAGGCATGAGCTCATGCGCCCAGACCACCTTTGCATTTTTGTACCAAATGTCTCCTCCCAACCCACGTCTGGTCAGTTTTTTAGAAGCAGCATTTCACAATTGCGTGTTTATTGAAGGAATACATTGAATGCCACATAAATATTTTATAGCAGTTTTAAAAGTACTGTATAAGTTCCAGTAACTGGAAGATATCATTTATTATTTCAATACTTTCTTTTGCATGTAATGGCTCTTTCTATATATTGATCTCTTCTTGATGCAATTATAAATCATTTAATAACCAAAATAAATTTACTAAAATATGGCCTAGTAAATCAATTATAATTATAGTGATTATTATAATAGTGGCTAAAATTATTACTATATTTTCTTGCTATAATAAATGTTAGTTTATAACATTCATAGTAATGTTTCAATCAATATGAAAATATACTTCTTATAAGTTTTTCTTAATTTTGACTGCCATAACCTTAATTTTTCCAATCATAAGGTTAAATGCCCTATTAGATTTCTAGGATATATTAAAAAGTTTTACATGGAAAAATTTAATTCTTAAGAAATTGAATAAATATTATAATACACCAGATTATACCTCATCCTTTTAAGCATGTAGTCTATTACAATATGCTATTAAAACAGGGAAAACCTGGCTTATGATTGTATTATGTGCTGTGTAAAAACTTAGTGATTCCCAACATCCAGTTTGATTTATTCTAATGCAACAAACATAATATGATGTGAAATATAGCATCATCAGTAACCTTCTGGTGTCATTAAAAAGAGTGATGGAAGTACAGCTTGCGACAGGTAAGGAACTTGGGAATGAATACATATTTCAACTACTTCTGTCTCTCCTCCTTTCCATGTCACTCTGCAAAATTATGAGAAGTGGCTGTGACATTACACATATCATGTATAATAATTTTCCTTCATTTAATCACATTACTTAAAATATATAAGACATAGAGTTTGGCTATGTACATTTGATGATGATTAATGATAGTGTTCTAATCCAAATATCTCCCCACTGTGGCCATTAGAAGTAGTTTTATTTATAACCTTTACAACTCACCAGTTTATCTGGATTTCTTAATCCTTTAGAAATCTATTGAGCTTATATAATGCACAAATAATTACATTATTGTGGTGATAACAAAATCCTGTTCATAAAAATAAATTTTAATAAAAGTTTTAACTTAAAAGTCCGCAAATCTTGACATTTGTAAGCCTGCATTACTGCCTATTTCTTCCTAAAGATTCACTGATATACTCCAGGAATTGAAAGAGGAAGCTTGCCAAGAACTTTCAAGTTATTCTTAAGGATCATATATACAGACTTCTTAAGATCCTTTGGAGATTGCTTATAATTAATTCTAGATGTTTGAAGTATTTTATGTCAGCCACTAATTTTTTTTACCATTTTAATTTAGTTCTGCAAGTTTTAACATATGTTGCATTTGAAACATAAATGTAAATTAACAACTCTTGGATGTACCCTAAGGAAATATATGGTCTTAAAAGTACATTATAGTGTATGAGTAGAGATCTCTAGTAGTAAGTGAATTCACTATAGGATTGTCTTTCAAGTTAAGTGAGAATAATAGTTAAATGACAACTCAACAAAACATGGTTACATATCATGATTTGCACTGGAAGATATGTATATACAACCATTCAGCAGACAGGGTGGCTGACCTGGTCACAGTAGAAAACATGACAATTAGATATGGCAACAGTTTCATCCAAATAAAATGTGATATCCATTTTACATTGGAGTCTTTGAGTTTCTGGAGCCTTAAGTTGGTATTTTCAAATATCCTGTACCTATAAGCTTATAAACGATTTAGCAAAAATTCTCATATTGTTAAGTGAAAATTTATCTCTGCCTGTGGTTTTTGCCCAATTTTAACAAGTAAATGTAAAAGAAGTGCTCTAAGAGGAACACCCACCAAAATAAAGGACCAGAATAACGTATCTACATGTTGTAAAGAATTGCATATGTTGAGTAAGAAATTTATATGTGAAACATTCAAGATCATTATTGTACCGTTAACCCCAAACTAAATCAAGATTATCCTATGTCACATTCTGCTTTTTAGAATGAGAGTTGAAGATTTCCAGCAGAGTGGTAAATTGCGAAAGATTCAAAGAAGGTTTTAAGAAAGGAATAAAGAAAAAGGCAAACTTACAAAATTTTAGTTATCTAGATCAATTCGTGCATAAGAAGGGAGAGTTCAAGGCAATTCATACAGCCTGTATAGTAGGATTTAACAGTACCAATTCTGCAGCCAGACAGGTGTCAGTTGTACATACTTACAACTGATGTAACTGAGCAAATTATTTAGGATAAGTTTTATGCACACACACACACACACACACAAACACACAAACGCACACCTTGGCACACACAAAATTCAATCTTCATCCTTGGAAGAAGCCACATTAAAGGCATGTATTCCACATTAATAACCCCTAAGGTCACAAACTGTCAGAGTGAGGAGAAATCTCTAATCCAGAACCAAAAAAAAGGAAAAAAAAAGGCAATGGAATTTAAACTAAAATTTTTAAAGTTATTAGAAATATAAGCCTGGCCACTGTGAGTTAATTCTATGGAATGCCATTCAATAAGAAAAGAAATCTGAGTTTAACAGCTTTGACTCCCATAATATAAGAATTTCATTTCCATAATCTTTTTTATTTGATATTTTATTTGACAGTGACATCTAACTAAAGTCATCCCATTTAATCTTTTCTTTTGCATGTTGCATGAACTTGTGAGCAGAGTAAGAAACAGGACATTCCTCGTGAAGATCAGGGACCAACTACAAAGAATTTGGATTTTTGGCCCCAACTTATTACACTGATGGTCACTATTATTGATGAGGATAAAACTGCCTACACTCCTGTCCTGAATCAGTAAGTACCACGTTTTGGAAATGAATGGATTTTATTCCACTAAAGTTAAAATAATGTCCATTTTAAGCGCAGCATGAGCTGATGACAGTAATAAACTTTTCCAAAATTAAGCTGTAGAAAATAGTATTTTTAAACTTTTATCACTAAATATCAATTAAACGATATTATAAATGTTTAATCTGAGCTGCATAGAATATAATTCTTTGGGTATGGACACAAATATTTTCCAAGATTTTATTTTTGCATAATGTAAAACTTTTCCTGTGGATCCTTTCCTAACTATACCGTTGTCTCAAAAGAAAAAAAATGTACACTCCCCCAAAACTAAAAATAATTTTGAAGAGATAGTGTTAAACACATTGCGTTGTGATTTGTTAATAGTAAAGACGTGAAAAAATCTTTCAAAATAGCTGTTTGTATTGATTTAAAAAACTTAATAAAATATTTAATAAAGCAAGTCAATTTTCACAAATTATAATCTAATGTCTCTAAGACAAGATAGATTAATTAAATTCATGACTGTTGTAGAAAAGACTGTAAAAATCATCATTTTATCAAAATACCACTAGCTATGAGACCTTAGGCAAATTATCAAATTTCTCTGGGTCTCTGTTTCCTCCCAACTAAAATAAAGATGTAATTATTAGATTATTTCCAAGACACAATCCTACTTTAATATTGCTTACTTAGATTTTATTTCACGCCCACATATTAAAGACCCTGCAAGCAAAATAATATCAGACTATTAGCTAGGCACTTGCAATCTAGTTAATAAAGAGTGTTGTCTTGACAATTTTAGTTAGACCTGAAATGTTGTGGGTAGCAAGGGTAGCAGAACTAGGCAAACTATAAAGTAGAACAGTGAAGTAGTCTTTGACTTACTGTGGATAAATGGCTGTATTCTTATTCTTTATACTTGGCAAGGCAGTTGAGGTGAACTTTTATGTTGAGTCCAATAAAACTCCAATTAAAGAAGAAATAAATTCAGGTATTTCAGTCTTCATCCTTTTTTGCTTCCTATTAACCACCAATTTCCCCCAGCCCCACAATTCCTTCTAATTGCGGAGAAAGTGGTTCTATTTTTGGTATGCAATCACCATTATATTAAGTTTGCCTTTTTCACTTTCTCTCCCTTTTTCCCCAGACCTAATTCTTATATCCGCCTTTTCTTTCTGATGGCCTTGGTGATTCCTAATTTCTGTACAGACTTTGCTCTTTTATTCTCTTCTATTAGGAATGGAAGACCTCCTCTTAATCTGTAACATATCATGATCTTATCACAGGTGCTGGGAAGTACTTCTTTTTAAAAAAAAAATCATTTTTTTAAATTATACTTTAAGTTCTGGAGTACATGTATAGAATGTGCATGTTTGTTACATAGTCATACACATGCCATGGCGATTTGTTGCATCCATCACCTCATCATCTACATTAGGTATTTCTCCTAATGCTATCCCTCCTCTAGCTTCCCACCCCCTGACAGGCCCCAGTGTGTGATGTTCACCTCCCTGTGTCCATGTGTTCTCATTGTTCAACTCCCACTTGTGAGAGAGAACATGTGGTATTTGGTTTTCTGTTCTTTTGTCAGTTTACTGAGAATGATGGTTTCCAGCTTCATACATGTCCCTGCAAATGACATAAACTCATCCTTTTTGTGGCTGAATAGTATTCCATAGTGTATATGTGCCATATTTTCTTTATCCAGTCTATCATTGATAGGCATTTGGGTTGGTTCCAAGTCTTCACTATTGTGAACAATAGTGCAATAAAAATACACGTGTGTGTGTCTTTATCATAGTATGATTTATAATCCTTTGGTTATATACCCAGTAATGGGATTGCTGGGTCAAATGGAATTTCTCTTTCTAGGTTCTTGAGGAAGTGCCACACTGTCTTCCACAATGGTTGAACTAATTTACACTCCCACCAACAGTGTAAAAGTGTTCCTGTTTTTCCACATCCACCCCAGCATCTGTTGTCTCTCAATTTTTTAATGATGGCCATTCTAACTGGCATGAGGTGGTATCTCAATGTGGTTTTGATTTGCATTTCTCTAATGACCAGTGATGATGAACATTTTTTTCATATGTTTGTTGGCCTCATATATGTCTTCCCTTAAAAAATGTCTATTCATATCCTTTGCCCACTTTTGGATGGGTTTGTTTTCTTGCAAATCTGTTTTAGTTCTTTGTAGGTTCTGAATATTAGCCCTTTGTTAGATGGGTAGATTGCAAAAATTTTCTCCCATTCTGTTGGTTGCCATTTCACTCTAATGATTGTTTCTTTTGATATGCAGAAGCTCTGAAGTTCAGTTAGATCTCATTTGTCAATTTTGGCTTTTGTTACCATTACTTTTGGTGTTTTAGTCATGAAGTCCTTGTCTGTTCAAGGTTTCAACTTCTTCCTGGTTTAGGCTTGGGAGGGTGTAAGTGTCCAGGAATTTATCCATTTCTTCCAAGTTTACTGGTGTATGTGCATAGCGTTGTTTGTACTAATTTCTGGTGGTAGTTTGTATTTCTGTGGAATCGGTGGTCATATATCCTTTATCATTTTTTATTGCATCTATTTAATTCTTCTCCCTTTTCTTTTTTATTATTCTGGCTAGCTGTCTGTCTATTTTGTTGATCTTTTCAAAAATCCAGCTACTGGATTTACTGATTTTTGAAGGATTTTTTGTATCTCTATCTCCTTCAGTTCTGCTTTGATCCTAGTTATTTCTTGTCTTCTGCTAGCTTTTGAGTTCTTTTGATCTTGCTCCTCTAGCTTTCTCAGTTTTGACAATAGGGTGTCGATTTTAGATCTTTCCTCGCTTCTTACATGGGCATTTATTGCTATAAATTTTCCTCTAGACAATGCTTTAAATGTGTTCCAGAGATTCTGGTGCATCCTGTTTTTGTTCTCATTGGCTTCGAAGATCATCTTTATTTCTGCCTTCATTCAGGAGTCAGTTGTTAGGTTTCCATGAAGTTCTGTTGTTCTGAGTTAGTTTCTTAATCCTGAGCTCTAATTTGTTTGCACTGTGGTCTGAGAGACTGTTGGTTATGATTTCCATTCTTTTGCATTTGCTGAGGAGGAATTTACTGCCAATTATGTGGTCTATTTTGGAGTAGGTTCAATGTGGTGCTGAGAAGAATGTATATTCTGTAGATTTGGGGTGGAGATTTCTGTAGATATCTATTAGGTCTGCTTGGTCCAGATCGGAGTTCACGTCCTGGATATCCTTGTTAATTTTCTGTCTTATTGATCTGTCTAATATTGACACTGGAGTGTTAAAGTCTCCCACTATTATTGTGTGGAAGTCTAAGTCTCTTTGTAGGTCGTTAAGAATTTGCTTTATGTACCTGGGTGCTCCCATATTGGGTGCATATATATTTAGGATTGTTAGCTCTTCTTGTTGCATTGATCATTTTACCATTATGCAATGCCCTTCTTTGTCTCTTTTGATCTTTGTTAGTTTAAAGTCCATTTTGTCAGAGACTAGGATTACAACTCCTGCTTTTTTTTTTTTTTTTTTTGCTCTCCAATTGCTTGGTAGATCTCCCTCCATCCCTTTATTTTTAGCCTATTTATGTCCTTGCACATCAGGTGGGTTTCCAGAATACAGCACACTGGTGGCTCTTGACTTTTTATCCCATTTGCCAGTCTGTGTCTTTTGATTGGGACATTTAGCCCATTTACATTTAGGGTTAATATTGTTATGTGTGAATTTGATCCTGCCATTTGATGCTAGCTGGATATTTTTCCATTAGTTGATGCATTTTCTTCATTTTGTTGGTGGTCTTTACCATTTGGTATGTTTTTGGAGTGGCTGGTACTGGTTGTTCCTTTCCTTGTTTAGTGCTTCTTTCAGGAGCTCTCGTAAGACAGACCTGGTGGTGACGAAATCTCAGCAATCACTTACCTGTAAAGGATTTTATTTCTCCTTCACTTACGAAGCTTTGTTTGGCTGAATATACAATTCTAGGTTGAAAGTTCTTTTCTTTAAGGATGTTGATGATTGGCCCCAACTCTCTTCCAGCTTATAGGGGTTCTGCCGAGAGATCCACTGTGAGTCTGATGGGCTTCCTTTTGTGGGTAACCCAGCGTTTCTGTCTGGCTGCCCTTAGCATTTTTTCCTTCATTTCAACTCTGTTGAATCTGACAAGTATGTGCCTTGGGGTTGCTCTTCTTGAGGAATAACTTTGTGGTGATCTCTGTATTTCCTGGACTTGAATCATGATCTGCCTTGCTAGGTTGGGGAAGTTCTCCTGGATAATATCCTGAAGGGTGTTTTCCAGCTTGGATTCATTCTTTCCATCACATTCAAGTACACCTATCAAACATAGATTAGGTATTTTCACATAATCCCGTATTTCTTGGAGGCTTTGTTCATTTCCTTTTACTCCTTTTTCTCTAATCTTGCCTTCTCATTTTATTTCATTGAGTTGATATTCAGTCTCCAATATCCTCTTTTCTGCTTGTTTGATTCAGCTATTGAAACTTGTGTATGCTTCATGAAGTTCTCATGCTCTGTTTTTCAGCTACATCAAGTCGTTTATATTCTTCTCTAAGCTGTTTATTCTAGTTAGCATTTCATCTAACCACTTTTCAAGGTTCTTAGTTTCTTTGCTTTGGGTTAGCGCATGTTCTTTTAGCTCTGAGAAGTTTGTTATTACTCACCCTCTGATGCCTGTTTCTGTCAGTTCATCAGCTTGATTCTCCATCCAGGTTTGTTCCCTAGCTGGTGAGGAGTTGTGATCCCTTGGAGGAGGAGAGGTGTCCTGGTTTTTGGTGTTTTCGTCCTTTTTGTGCTGGCTTCTTCCCATCTTCATGTCTTTATCTACCAGTGGTCTTTGTAGTTGGTGACTCTCAAATCGGGTCTCTGAGTGGACATCCTTTTTGTTGACGTTGAAGCTATTTCTTTCTGTTTCTATTTTCCTTCTAACAGTCAGTCCCCTCTGCTGTAGGACTGCTGGAGGTCCACTCCAGAACCTGCTTGCCTGGTGATCACCCACAGGGGC